GATCCCTAGCCCCACCCCCACCCCCCCCACACACACAGAGGCAAGATCTTGAAAATCCACAAGGACACTCTAGACCTTTAGAGCTAGTTTCACTTGAATAACCTTGTGTCCCTTGCTGTTTACTGAAAGATAAAGAAAATTATGTCTTTGGATAAAGGAAATAAAGAGCTGATGAGGACTTCTCCTTCAAGGGACCCGTTTTAGTCACCTTTTCGCTGCTGTGACTAAAGGACCCGACCAGAACAGTTGCAGAGGAGGGAAGGTTTACTTGAGGGCCCAAGGTTTCAGAGGTCTCAGTCCATAGAAGGCCAGCTCCAATCCTTGGGGCTTGAGACAGGACGTTAGGGTGGAAGAGCATGACACAGGGACACAGCTCACATGATGATCAGGAAGCAGAGAGAGACGCCATGCTCCAGACACAAATGTATACCCCACAGCCACGCCCAAATGGACTTCTTCCTCCAGCCACACCCCACCTGCCTCCAATCACCACTCAGGGATTAATTCCCTGATTAGGTTAAGGCTATGACCTGGTCATTTCTCTTCCAAATCTTCTTGCATTGTCTCACAATGAGCTTTTAGGGGACACCTCACATCCAAAGCATAACAGAACCCATGTTCTTATCTTAATGAAAGGATTTAGAAAGAAAGAAATCATAGAAATAATGGAAATTAAAAAGCTGGAATATCATACTGATCTCCAATATACATAGATAATATAATTATATATGTAATAAGACATTATATATATGTACATGTACAGACAGAATATAATTTTGTTTGAGTGTTTATAGCTGCTTCTTCCCATTCGCAGTCTATTCACTATGGCATTAAATTTTTTAGACTTTGTGCTTGTACTGATTGTATTTGGTTTATCTTTTGGTCTAAAGAAGGGTAAATCCAGTGCATGGGTTGTATCAGTTATTTGAAGGGTGTGGTGAAAACCTGCTATTAATCCTCCCATGTTCCTTTCTCTATTAAACTGATATGCTATAAGAAAGAAACAAAAAGAAAAAAGAAAGAAAATGAGGAAAAAAAGGAGAAAGAAAGAAATGATGGAAGGGGATCACCTACCTATAGGCATATTATAAGTGCAAAATGAGATAATAAACATGAAGATGTTTGGTGAGGTATTGGGTGCCTGTCTTTGAGGACTACCAAGCCAGACACTGTGAACTTTGTAGGCACCAACTTACTCATTAGTTAGGACCATCCTGGGAGGTACTGTTTAGACCTACTGCAGAGGTAAGAAGACTGAGGGTCAGAGAACCTGAAAGCTTTAGCTTAAAGCCTACCAAGAGGGTGATTGAATGGAATGCAAATCCCAACATATGCCTTCTATTCATGAGGCCCCAGCAAAATGAAAAAGCAAAAGCTCTCTCCGAATCACTAAAACGCCTCTGAGAAGTGTAAATTGTTCCCTAACATAAAGCAGCTTATAGCCAAGCAGCAGCACACTTTCCTATAAAGGAGTAAGGCAGAAGAGCTGAGCCTAGTGGTCTGGGTTAGGAATAACTCAATAGGACTTTAAGTATGACCAATGAGGCCAGAAAAAAGCCACAGAGCCGATGGGTGACTGGTGGCCTCAGCCTCTTCTTGAGGTCTCACGGGACTCATAAATCTTTACCCCAAATGAATTTCCTGCTGTTTCCTTCATTCAGGCAATTTGTGATTCTGTTTATTTTTCTGACAAATCCAGAGCACTGGGGAAGTGGGTAACTTTTACGTTTTATATTTTTTCTTCATATTCCTAAAGTGAACCTGAATTGAAATGTATTTTCATCAAATAGTTTCCCCTGCCACCAAGGAGCAGTGTTAAATTCAGAATGTTCCAGGCATTGGCTTATTTCATCTAAATCCAAATTTCAGGTAGAGATGATACCATTAAAATGGAAATTGTGTGAGTCTGCCTGCTTTGGTAACTTGTTTTGTGAAATTTAAATAGATTTCCAGAAACAGTCAAGCACTGGGGATATGAAGTTATTGTTTAAATCTGAGATACAAAAAAAAAAAAAAGACGCCCACTTTCAAAAGCAAAAGAACGATGAAAACCCTTGTATCTTGAAAGATGAATATGAATCAGAAGAATGAGACAATCTCACCCTTGAGGGGGTGGAAAGGGCTTTTCCTTTCAGGGCTGGAGATGAAACATTTAAAAATAAGATTTCAAAGCTCCAATCCTCTTGCTGGGCTTTGTGACTCAGAATTGAATTTATTAGTTTGACAAATTGGTTTTTACAGATGTCTTGATTTGAAAACCAAATAAACTGTTCAGCTGGTAACCTCACAGAGGCCACACGTATTGCAGAAAGGCCCGAGCACCACTTCCATCCTCTGTTTATACAGATGATAAAGGCTCCAGGAGGGGGCAGCTCTGGGGTCCCTCCACACACAACCCTTATCGGTCAGGGAAGGACTGGATCCCCTGCTACTGTGCACTGTGAAAGCCCTCACTGAAGCAGCACATCCTGCATCTCCCAACCGAAGGCAAGAACAAAGGGCCCTGATAGAGAGTGTGAGGGGGCGTCTAAGCCAGAACTGCAGGTCAGAACCCTAACCCTGGATTTATTGACCCCAGGTCCACAGCTTTCACTTCTCTGTACTTCACTTTTCCAGAAAGCAGAAGAGAAAAGCAAGTGTAGGGTCAGGCTCTGAAGTCAGGTATCACTGGACTTGAATCCTGTCTCTACCGCAGGCTGGCTAGGTGGCCTCTCGGAGCCTCAGTTTCCCTATCTGTGAAATAAGGATAATAATGTTACCTTCAGTCGGGATTCTCCAGAGAAACAGAACCAAGGGGAGATTAATGATCAGGAATTTGCTGTCAAGTCCGACATCTGCAGGTGGAGACTCCAGAGAACCAAAGTTACAGCTCAAGTCCAAAGGCAGTCTGCCAAAAAAACGGGCAAGAAGCAATTGTTCAGATGAAGGCTGACTCGGGAGAATGCTCTTTTGTCCTGTTCAGGCCCTCCCTGTTGGACGAGACCCACCACTTTACAGAGGGCAATCTGCTTGATTCAAAGCCCACCAATCCAACTGTCAATCTCATCTCAAACTTTACACAAACACACAGAACACTGGCCAAGCATCCAGGCAGCCACACTGACACGAAAAATTAACCATCACAGTCAAGTGCTCCTCACCATGACCCTATGCAATCGATGAATTTGTGAAAGACATCTCCCCGGCTCTCAGGATAAATAGCCATTACTGTGATTTCTTCATGGGTCAATGACACAGCCAGCCAGGAGTCATTTTGATTCTGCCTTCTCTCAGGGTATTTCCAAATTAATCACTTTACCTTGATATCCCCCTCCAAAGATATTCACTGGCTGGCACTTGTTAAGGACACTAAACTTATCCAACCAACTGAACTGTCAGTGCACGTTCATGTCACTTTCTGACGGTTCCACCGTGATGCCACTTCTGAGATGCACGAAAATCGTATAATATCCTGTCCATGCTGATATTCCTACTTAAAGATTTTCTTCTTTCACAAGTATTCTCTTTTCCAAGCACCCTCTCTATTTTCTAGATTGAGGAGAAGAGGAAAAGGAGGTAGAAAGAATGGAAAGAAGAAGGGGGAAAACATGAAACCAAAATAAATAGCTAACCAAGATAACCATGGCTATAAACCCAGGCAAACGAAATCATTGGTTTTCTCTGGATTAATCCTAAAACCCATAAGCTGGAAGTTTAGGGCCCTGGGTAATAATTATAAGAACCTGTTTTCAGTAGCAGGCAATCTGACTCATTGTGGTTGATGGATGGACAGATGTGTGGCTATTAGAAGATCCAGCAGCCGTTGCACATGTTGGTTGCTGTGGGAGCTTTAGCAAACCTTGTCCTTCACACCTATGCTACTTTCTAGAATGGAAGATTTCTGCAGCCCTGCCAACTTGGTCTGATGGAACACAAATGGGTACAGTGACTCTTTGCAGCCTTTCCATTGAGACTGCTTGCTACAATTGTCAGAGCTGCCTCATGAACTCCTTCTCTGCCATGAGGCACTTGAGAGCAAATTGCCACCTGTGATCATACCTCCATATTTCTTCTCATCTGAAAAAGAATTGCAAGTCTTGGTTAGAAATAGTTAACAATCCAGTTTCACCAAACGGCTTCCATTGACTCACTACTAGAAGAGACCTCAGTGGTCAATCTCTGAGCCCAACATTCTGCTTCCTATAGAAAACCCTCCTACAAATTCCCAATCAGGTAATCATTCAACACATCTACCCCATCGCAATCAGGTGAAGCCAAGTAGTCGGTGTCCTGGTCACCTCTCAAGGGTCACCTCTCAGGGTCTTCCCAGCCCCAACCCCACAAGGCAGATTTAGATCCACATCCATTCACATTGGAAGGCACAGTGGGCTTAACAGTCAACGACAAATGGGTTACAACACCAAGGAATGTTAGAAAAATAATAAATTAGGTTCTTCCCTTATTTTATAGGTTGGTGGTTATAATGGTAACAAGCTGTGGAAAAGATAAACTCTGAGAATGTATTTCAATTTTAAATATGCACATGCACATGTGTGAATGTTTACACACACACACACACACACACACACACACACATAGTGTAAGAAAAATTGCTAATGTTCTTACACTGTAGTTTTTAAGTTAGAATTATCTGACCTTTAAGTTGATAAACATTAAGTGTGGATAAATATCTAATAGAAGTTTTTAAAACTCAAAGTACTTCCTACATGTTGTTGAATCTCATGTAAAATAAATAAATAAATAAATAAATAAATATATATATATATATATATATATATATATATATATGCATTTAGTGAAAAAAATCCAGTTCATTCATATAACATGGTGGAAGAGATTTCCCTTTAGATAAGTAATTATAATCAAATATCTAAGAAGTAGGTAACTCAAATTGAAAAATAATAAAGAGGGATTCACGGGGGTAGTAAAATATCCCCTTTATGTTAATGATGTCACAGTCATCAAAGACTCTAGATTTACTATTTTTAAAGGATTAGCAAGTACTGGCTTTAGCAGCACATATACTAAAATTGGAATGATACAGAGGAGATTAGCATGTATCCTGCACAAGGAAGACATGCAAATTCATGAAGGGTCCATATTTTAAAGAGAAATTAGTAGAAAGATTATTAGGAAGGAGGGGAGAGGAAGGTGGGGGAAGGAGGAGGTTATGATCCAAGCGTATTGTTTCCATGTACCACAATGAACCCACTGTTCTGTAGAACTAACATACACATACAAAAAAAAATAGAGCAACCAAAAAACCCAACAACAAAAATAAAGATTAGTGAAAAAATTCTGAAATTATTATATCTTAACTCTGAATTTGAAAAAATCTGTTCTTTATTTAAAAGAAATTAAACTCTAAGTCCATTTAGAATTTTCCAGAAAATCTAAATGTTGCCTCTTCCTACTAGGCTGATTAGGCATTAGGTAACATAGATTGTCTCCTGTTACCTAACTGGAGTAGTTTTACTGTCACAGAAATAGTCACTGAACCAAGGCAAGCTGATACCCAGCCATCCTCTAAATAGGTTTGTTTGCTAAGAACTAAAGTAACTGGTAGGACACATAATAAAGAAACAAAGCTTATTACACAACAAAATATAAATAAAGACTGCCACCATCAACTTCACTCAAAACACATAAACACACGAGTGCGTGCACACCCACACACCCACACATACACACACAAACCTTTAATGTGCTTTGATCTCTGGATTTTAAAAAAAGTAAAAAACATTTAACACTAAATTACAAATGTCAGTTTTTAATGCTTTTCCCATAAAATTAAAACATTTATTGTTCCCATTAGGACTCATTCTTTTCCATCACACAATTGTAGGAGAGACTCAGCACAACTGCCAAGCAGTTAGAGGTCTCATTAGAGATTCTCAGGCAGTAGGGGAGGCCGTGGTCCAGGGAGCTTAAACACAAGTTTCAATCCAGCAAATATTTTAGAGGCAATATTTTAGATTTGTTTTCATCCAGTGTAAAAATCAGTTCTACAAATACTGAATTTTTCAGCTATCAACTTCTCCAGAGGACCAGTTTTAAAAAGCAAAAGAACAGAAAGCTCTGCTTTTAATTTAACTAAAAAGGGAAGAGCATTGAATTATAGAGGAATTAAGATAGGAGGTCCCTTTTTAAAAGAATCTGATGTTGAATTAATTGTACTTAATTTTTTTATCCGTGCAAGGCCTCAACTTCAATATTGATTCATTCTTTACTAGTCACTAATTCCATTCCCTTTCCAGTTTTTGCAGACCTCCTTCCTTATGAATTTGACATGCATCCTTGAATCTAAGTCCTCATAATAGACTCAGTGTTATGTGTGCATACATTTAATTCACATAAACTCTGTTTTGCTATACACAGACACTTTGGTTGGTTGGTTGGTTGGTTGATTGGTTGGTTGGTTGGTTGGTTGGTTGGATTACACTACTTAGTAAACTATGTGTCTAAGATCTATTCATGATGTGGTGATGACTCGAGCTTTGTCAAAGCTCTGCTGTTTCTAATTGTTGCAATAGATCTCAGAATGTGCATTCCACTGTATCACATTTTCCACTTCCACGGTCCCACAGTGGTAGATAAGATGGGTTGCTGGCTCCAATGTCCACAAAACACTTCAATGAGCATTTATGATTATTTCATTTCACAGACAACTCTAAAAGTTTTGGGAGGCATAGACCTTTTGGAAGGGACAGACACATACTTGATTTAACTAACTTTAGCCAGATTTTTTTTCCAGGATGTTGCACCAGGCTACACACCCACCAGCAGTACCTGGAGTTCCTTATTTCTTCACATTTCCACCAATTAAGGTTTTCATGTGTATGATTTACTTACTTATTTGTGCTAATCTGATGGGTGTAACCCATCGTCTCATTTAATTTCAATTTCTCCAATTACCAGTGGATTTGAACATCTCCTAATAGAAGAGGTGGTGGTTCAAGTTTCTTCTATTATAAATTGCCTGTTCAGTTCTCTTACCCTTTTAGTGATTGGATTATCTAATTTGATTTATGAGAGTTATTTCTGTATTATAATATTCTTTTCAGTTTTAGACATAGGTATCATCTTTCATCAAGTTGCTATCTGTCTGTTAACTTTGTCTACAGCATCAATCATGGAATGCAAATCCTTGATTTTGATATAATTGAGTCCATAAATTCTTCACACTAATTTGCATTTTGCTTTTTTTGGTCTTATTTTTTAAAATCCTTCCACATGTTCAAGTCATGAATCTATCTTTCTGTGGTTGTTCTCATTACTTTTTAATTTTACTTTCACAATTACATTTTCACCAGTGAGTGATCTGTCATTTGCATGATGGTGAGGTCGCTTCTGTTTTTGCATTATAATAGATATCATTGCAATCAACATGTTTATACCTCTAGAGAAGATGTTTTTCATATGAGCTTATCAGATAGGGTCCATTTAGGAGACAGAATGCACATCAGTAATTGGAACAGGAAAAACTGAATATAGAAGATTATTAACTTATTATTAACAGGGGGATTAACTACTGAGAAGAAATAAAAGAGAAGTCTAAAGAATCCAGTAAGTGTGAGATATGATACCCCAAGAAAGACCAAACATGGAAGGGAGCCTCTCTCCCCCCACCGGGGGAAGCATGGCTGTGGTCGACTGGAGAGTGGAGTGGAGGAAGTCATTGGTTGCACTGGTCCAGAGCCAGATCACAGCTGGCAGGTCAAGGCTGGTGAGCAGGAAACCACTGCACAGCACTGAGAAGCAAACTTCTGGTGGGTGGGTGTCATTATGTGTCTTGCATGCTAGAAACTGCATCATTAAAACACAAGAAGGAGCCAGGCACACTCAAATTAGGAAGAGAAGCTCCTTCGTCTCCGAATGTGCCTCCAGTGCCCTCTAAAGACAAAGCTCAAGATTGTGCCAGCTGGATAATGAGAGGTGTTCAGAGGATTCAACTCCAGTAACACTTCGTGCATTTGGAGCAGAAAGACAGTAAATTGGTAGCTGGCACAATGAGCCGCCTTTCATTCATCCTCTGACAATTACAGCCCAATTGTTGAATCTACTTGTTCAGTCCACGTACTCCAACCAGAACACAAACTCTCCCTAAGTAAGATGATTAGTGCAGGAATGATGTGCCTCAGGCTGAGTCTCATCTATGGGCTTATCTAAGCCTTTACTGAATGCAAACATTGCAAGTCATTTCCCCTTTTGAGCTGGATGTGAGGATGTGAGTCTTTTGCTACTAGGAGCACCACCTAGAGCCTTAAAACGAAGCGCTTGCAGCAGAAGCACTGTTCAGAGCTGCAGAGCACCTGGGTCCTGAGGTCTGGGTTAAGCCTTACAGGCAACCACCTGTGAACTCTTCAATTACACGAACCAATAAATCCCCACTTTTCTTTTCTTTATCCCAGTTGGACTAGGTTATTATATTTTCTGTTGCTAGCCACAGAATTAGTCCTGAGTAGCTGGGAACGGGGGTGCTTGCCTGTAATCCCAGCCACTTGGGAGGCTGAGGCAAGAGGATGAGAAGTTCAAGGCCAGCCTGAGCAATGATGCAAGACCCTGTCTCAATAACCCATCTCCAGGTACACTAGAGGTAGCTCAGTAGTTTGGTGCTTGCCTAGTGGTTGCATGAGGCCCTGGGTTCAATCCCCATCAGTACTAAATATATATATATTCCCTATTCCCAACTGAAAGTTTCTCAAGTGGTCATCCATATGAGGAATTTTCAATATGTTTAGTCATGATTTTTCCTGGTAATGATTAGACGTAGTCTCTTAAGTAGATCTTCATCAATATAGAATATAGTCACACATAAGTTATTATAATTTGATGATATATTAATTCACTGAGAAAATATTTCTTACATTTCTGATATATGCTGCATACTCTGCTTGGCACTGGGAGTTGAAGAGTAAACAAGACAGACACAATTTCTTATTTTTCTAGAGCGTTTGGTCCAGTAGAGGTTATGGAAATGCACCCTGCTAATAATAACACGGGATGAACACCACATTGGGGATGTCCCAGTGCTTTTGGAAACACAGAGGAGGGGGAGAGGCACTTGATCCACGCTGAGGTGTGAGGTTGAGAGAGAAGATAATGTCTAGATAGAGAATTTAGAGATGCATTTTACTTCCTTAACATAGGCAAGGACACCTCTGACCATGTGGTCAGCACTATTCTAAGCACATGACAAAGAGGAACACACTGGGTCCTTATAACAATCCTAAGCGGTAGATGATAAAATTATGTTCACGTTACAGATCAGGAAACCGAGGCGTAGAACGATTAAGTGACTTACCCTAGATGTGATAGTTAAGTCATGGGTGTTCATGGAGAAGGTCATGGGAAGCGGGGCTCTGACCCCTGGGGGTGTCACCTTTCCAAAAGAGGTGGTGTCCAGTGACAGTGAGGATCTGGGGAGGGGGAGGGATGGAAGCACAGCTGGGCTCCCCCTCCCCCTTCCCTAGGAAGAGAGACCAGCTGAGTCCTGGGTGCTGCCCCTGCAAGGCCAGGCTTGCCACGTGGCTGACAGTCTGATGACATGGGGCAGACTGTACTGAGTCCCCAGGAGCCAGGACATTGCCCATGCTGCCTTGCTGAGGACCATGAGAGGTATTTAATAATTGGCAAAACTGCAGAGAGGAAGGAACAGGAAGCATGACTGCCTGGTGAGAAAAGAGACGATGTTGTCGGGAAGAAAGGATGAGGTACCTAGGAGACGACTTCCTCCTGGGGATGAGGGTGTTATGGTTTAGCAGTGTCCCCCACAAGCTCCCGTATAAGACAGTGCAAAACAGGATAGAGGTGACATGATGGGGTTATGACAGCCTTGGCCTCATCAGTGCATTATTCCCCTGACAGGGATTAACTGGGTGGTAACCGTGGGCAGGTAGGTGTAGCTGGCGAAGCTGGGTCGAATGGGTTGTGCACTCGGGGTTTCTGTTTTGTTGGTGGTGAAGGGAATCTCTCTGCTTCCTGGTACCATGTCCTGATCCATTTCCCTCTGCCACACCATGATGTTCTGCCTCTCCTGGGGCTGCCAGGAATGGAGCCAGCCATCTATGGACTGGTACTTCTGAAACCATGAGCTCCAAAATAAAC